ACCGCCGGACGCGGCGCTGGGCAGCGCGGCGGCGGCCGAGGCCAGGCCGCGGGTGGCATCAGGGGACAGCTCCTCCGGGTCGCTCTGGCAGGGATCGTCCCCCAGGGAGTTCTGCTCGCTGAGCTTGGGCGCCAGCAGCTTCACCAGCTCCGGCAGCATGAAGTACTCGGCCTCGCGCTGCAGCCGGCCGCGCTCCGGGAAGTGCTCGGGCAGCACCAGCTGCTGGTCCCTCATGTAATCCAGGATGTAGCGGAACAGGAACCCGTCCCGGTCCACGAAGAAGCGGCCCTTGCTGTCGCGGGCCAGCGAGCGCACGTTCTTCTGGGTGAACATCTCCCAGAGCAGCGAGCCGGGCACGCTGATCAGCGTGGGGTGCCGGGTGATGTACACCTGTCCCCCCACGTTCAGCTCGATGATGTCAGGGAAGGGGTTGTTGTCCTCGCTGCCTTTGGCACAGCCCGCGGGGTCTGCCAGGGCCATGGTCGGCTCCCGCTGCTCCCACCTGCAGCACAAACGGGGCAAAAACGGGTTAAAACCTCCAGAAAACACAGCCCAGTGCTCTGATCCCAGCTGATCACTGGGGATCCCGAAGGATCACCCCAATCCCAAGTGACCGGAAATGATCCCAAGGGATCCCAAGCCATCACCCCAATCCCAAGTGATTGGAGAGGATCCCAAGCCAGATCACACACGGAATCATAGAATTGTTTAGATTGGAAAAGCTCTCTAAGATCACGGAGTCTGACCCAGCACTGCCAAGCCACCACTAAATGCCTGGTTTGGGTCAGCAGGAAGGGCAGGACCAGATCCTTGTCTCTCCAGGAGTCTGGGAGTCATCTCTCTTCCCCAGTCCCTGGCTCTTGGAACGGGCAGCATTATCCAAAGCCGCCTCCCCTTCCGTGGCGCACAGCCCGTGTTCTGACCGTGCCAGCTCCACCTGGGCTCGCCCGGCAGCGGAGGGGCCCGGCCCCTCTGCCCAGGAAGGTGCAGGGACGTGGGGCTGCTGTCAACAACAGGAAGGGCAGGGCTGTCACACCCTGGGGACCCGCCAGCCCGGCATCCTGCGGGCAGGAGCAGCTGCCAAGGGAGGAGCTCTCGGCAGAGCCGGGGCTGCAGGGGCTGCGGTGCCACGCGAGGAGCACCCCGGGGCTGGGGAAAAGCACCCCGAAGGACAGAGGGACAGAGCCTTTTGGCATTCCTGCTCTGTCCTTGCTCATGGAAAGTGCTCAGCACGGACTCGCAGCCAAGCTGGGAGATGGCAGAACCTTTCCAAGGGGCTGGGACCAAGACAAATCCTGGGCTGCTGCTACAGCCTCGGGGCAGATGCCACGGATTTATACATTTTCCAAAGGCAAGCCGGTTCTTGGATGTCTCTTGACACTGCAAATCAGCAGCTTACATAAACCTGGCTCAGCAGCCAGAGCCTGGATCCATGCCGTGCTCTGTGCAGGCATTTGGGAAACCACGGAGGGAAGGGGTTCCCTGGGCTGACCTCTAGCTCTGCCCCCTCCCTGCTGCAGGATCTCAGTGCTGCCCTGGCTCTGCTCGGACCTTGGGACCCCCCGGGACTGGTCCCACACCCCGGGAACAGCCCAAAGTCTCTCCCTGTCCCCGTGTCCTGCCGCAAAGATTCCCAGGAGCTGCTCCAAAGGATCCCAACACAAATTTCGGAGCCTCTAAAGGACAAAGACGAAACTCTGTGGGCACTTTTGGGCGCGGGGACAGAGCTGAGCCAGCGTTTCACGGCCACACTCCTCCTCCCGGCTCACAGGGAGAATCGCCTTTGAACGAGGGGTGACTTGGGCAAGGAAGAGACGGAAGGATGGCAAGAGGATCAGCTCGGTCCCGGCTTCCCAGTCCCCTCCCGCAGTGGCTCTGGGTCCCTTTCCCTGGCGATTCCATGCCCACGGCACAGCCCGGCGGGCAGGAGCCGCCCGTGCCCGGCGCTCGCATCCCTTTGTCACGGCTGGAGGAGGCTGGG